TTGCATAGTAATATCTGGGAACATTTTAGAAGTAGGACACAGTTTTTCAATTTTCTTCCTGAAATTATATAAACAACGTTATATCAAAGCTAAAGCAGGTCATTTATTGGTCTGTGTTAGGCTATACTTAGACTGGATGAAGTTGATTTTTTCCCTTTTAGAACCATACAGTAAATCCTTTTAGTATTCCTTCCCCTCTTCTCGGGTATCTAGACCTGTCTAATCCTGGAGCAGCTCAATTATGTTTGCTTTGACCTTGCTGCAGTTTGTACCTACATCACCCAAACTAATTCCCTGAAGTCAGCTACAAGCTACATTGTCAATGTCTGCTGATTTTTAACAGAAACTGAGACAAGAGTTTTTGGCCAGAATCTTAGCCCAGGGGTTAAGTGAATGGAATGTTCAGTTTACTTAGAGTGGCTTATTTTCCAAATCAATCTGATTTTATTTTCTAATATTTCTAATTATATCTCCTTTCCATCTCTGTTATCAGTACTTAATTCAGATCCTCATCACCTTTTCCCTGAACCTTTGAAGCAAACACTTAGCTGGCCTACTCACTTACCTTCGTCTTTCCACACAGTCTCCACCTAACAACTATCTTTGTTAAGTGCCTTTCTTCCACATTTTTCCCCACTACAGACTTTTTCAGATGAACCAATTGGTAATTTTTCCCGTATCTGTAAGAGTGTTTCTCAAATGATTACATATGGAATCTTTTTAAGAGAGAAACAAATTATTTCATATCACTTTTGCCATCTTAAGTTACTGTATTATAAAATCACTTATATATGTGTGAACATAAAAAATGCATCCTATTTATGTTTAATACAATTATAAAACCAAAACATTTTCATATGGAAAATGAACCAAACTGTACAACAAAGGAAATTCAAATATGCAATATTAATTCATTATGACAGTTAATATTGTCTTGAAACTATAACACTGTTTGCACTGGCCATTAAGTTCTTTTATTTTCAAATGCCTGTGATATGTAGTGAACTCTGGCATGACTGGATTTGTCTAATTCTTCATTTGGTCTCTGGCATGAATTTGTTATTTAAATATAAAAGCTCCACATTCCCAGGACAAGTAAATGTTGTACACGAAGTGCAACCAAATAGAGAACATAGGTAAACACAGGCACCAGAAATTAATAAGCTACATCATCCAGGTCTCACATTATTTAATTATATTTCTTTATATTTTTGTGAAAGTAAAATTCTCATGGTTAACTCACAGAAAAGGCTAAGTTTGAGTGCTGTTTTCTCAGCCATGAGAAACACTGACTGTCGAATTGAGTCCAAATGCCATGTGAGGCTTGGAAAGTCCTAATGTACTGCGCTTTCCTCTTCCTCCAGGCCGGTCGGTCCCTGGGCATTGCTCCTTAGCACTTATTCCGCAGTGCTGGTGACCTCATGAGGTGGCCCTGCCCCATTCCATTTTAGCCCTCTGAGCTTTTGCTTTTGCTACATCTACATATTTTCCCCCAATTTTGTATCTTGTTTTTTTAAATAAAATTTATTGGAGTGACAGTGGCGAAAAAGACTATATAGGTTTCAAGTGTACATTTCTGTAATACCTGATCTGTATATTGCATTGTGTGCCCACCACCCAGCACTTGAACTTTTAAAAAGTCATGTTGGAGCAAAAAGGGTAGGTAATTACTACTACTATTATTATTATTTTTTTTTGTAAATCAATCAGAACTATACTTTTTTGTCAGACCTGCAAAAAACATATTTTTTGGTACACCACAGCATTTTATTTTTTAATTGATTTATTTTTAGCATTAAGTGCTTTTTTATTGTGATAAAATGTATCTAGCTTAGGTCTCATTTCCTCTGAAACCACTCCTGGAGCCCCAGGCTGGCGCTGTGCTCCTACCTAGCCTATCTCCGCCCTTGGACCGCGGATCTGTTCAGTGCCTCATCCTGGTGCAGGCTTCTCCAGAGCAGGCACTGTCACTGGCGCCCAGCACAGGCCCATACACAGCAGTCACTCTGAATACGCAGTGAACTGGACCGAACCATTTTCAGAAAAGGGGCCTCTCTGGTAACCACACTGTGGGTGGTTTTCTTTTTGTTTCATTTGTTTGTTTCCAGTACTCAGAATTGAATATACTTTAAGAAAACATAACATAATTGAAAACTGCACTGGATTTAGAATCAAAGGACTTGAGTTCACATCTTGTCCTGTCATCTGGTCTTCTGTATAAAATGCAGATAAATAATTTCCGTTTCACACCATTTTTGCAGATGTGCAAAATTCTGGCATATGTTCAGTAAATATTAGTTTCCTTTCTGTATTACTGCTTTACTTTTTTATGGCTGATCAATGATTTGAAATGATTATTGTTACCAGTGAAGCTTCAGATCTATATACCTCCTTATCCCACTTAGATTGAGGTCTAGTATTAGTTCTTTTTCCTGAAATGAGTTTCAAAATTACTATATAAAATAGATGCCACAGTCTTTCCTTTTCATCCTCATAGGTTATTCCACTCTCTTGAACTGTTTATATTTATTCAGAACATATTTCTTTTCTCTTATTGCCACAGGCGTGAGAGGACCTTTACTTTGTTCTTATTATCTAGAGACATCTATCTTCTGACTTTTTTTGTAGTTTGTTTTCATCAGAAAGCATCTACTTTAAGAAGTGTTTTCTTTACCTGCATTTTATTATTGAATTTCCCTTTTTTATGCTTTTGTATGGATATTAGAACCTGTTGCTTTCTTTTGGTAATAGGCTTAGGGCTCTGCATTAACACAAACTTTATTGCAGAAGTCAGTCATGTGGAGTTCAGCAATATGGAAAATTTATCTAATCAGTGGGATCCTAGCTGTTAAGTGTGTATTATAAACAAAAGTATATATAATAAGGTAGGTATAAAAGTAACTGAGACAGATTTAGTGATGCTGACAAAGAAAAACAAAAAAAGTAATGAAATGCCTACATTTTGTTATCATACAATGAAATGGCAGCTACAAACTACGGAACGAATTCTTGAAGGAAAATTGTAAGTAATGTGCCTTTTTGGTACAAGAAAACTCAGCCTACATGGAACAGAAAAGCTGCTCAGGTATAGGACTAACCAAAGGACGAACTAAGCTGCAAAAATGTACTAGAGACAGAGTATCTGAGTTTCAACTTAACATTGTGAGGACAGGAATAATGAAATGAATTTGTCATACAGCAGCAGGCATGAGTCAGTGACCCGCAAGAGATCCCTGCTATTACACATTATTCTCTGGTTATGCGCCTTCCTAAAGGCCGAGAGCAATGTGTGGTACAAGTGCTTTTGTATTGGATTAAAGCTGCACCTGTCATGCCCTGACCCGTTTCACCTTCAACCTACTCTCTGAATTCAATACAAATGAAAACCTTGGAGACTTTTGGCGGAGAGATTCGTGACTAACAGGAAAAATTTGGAACCTCAGAAGCAATGCATTTGGTTTTTGCCCTTTTGGCACAATCATGAAGAGTACCTACCATTTTACCAGCTGGTAGGAGATAAAAGAGAACCTTAGGGTCTTGTGCCCTGCATTGGGAATAAAGTCATTTGAGTTGGCAAATCTCGGTGAACAGTTCAGTTCTAAGTTTACAGGTACTGACCTCAGGCCCTTTTGTATCCACGTTGCCTGCATTTGGGCTCCAGTTAACTTTTGTCATTGCTAGAGACAGAACACTGTTTGACAGCTTGCACAAAGAAGAATAATTGACAGAACTCCTCCATATGTATCTGCTTCTAGATATCTTTCAGTATAACTGTTTAAAAAATAAAATTATTAGGGCTCTTATGACATGTACATTTGATTTCATGATTTTTAACTTGTTCTCAGTTTTAGCTTTTTATGAAGATACCAGTATTTATTTATATTTCACATTGGTTCAAAAAAATTATTTCTGTGCTTTGTGTCAGCTACTGTGTATGCAAAGTTGGGTATTTTGCTGTTGAAGACTTTGCAGCCTACTGAAGGAGAATATAAAGATAATTCCTTAAAAGAATGACAAGACCGGTCACAGGCTGGGAGAAACTATGCCGGTGACAGGCATACCTGATAAAGGACTGCCTTGTAGGTTCTTTGATTGTAGCAAATGTGCTACTCTGGACTCTGGTGCAGGAGGGTGAAGTGTGTGGAGTCTCAGGGTATATATGGGGACTCTGTACTTCCCACTTGATTTTGCTATGAACTCAAAACTGCTCTAAAAAATAAAGCCTTTTAAAAAATAGTAAAGCCAGTTCATCATGCTATGAGAGAAGTGTTTTAAGAAGAGTAGTAGCCCAGAAAAGAGGGGCCTTCTCCAGCCTAGGGAGGTTTTGGAGAGGACTTCACAGAAGCCGTGACTTTTAGACTGGGGCTTAAAGGATAAGTAGAATTTACCTGTCAGAAGGTGCAGGGAGGAATCACAGGTACAGGTGGAGAAGAAAGGAAGAGGTGAAGGGGGATAGGAAGGGAGAGGAGGAGGAGGTATGGCACCGACTGCTTGTAATTCTCACGGAGACTAGAACTCACGGTAAACATTGGACACATGGGGCAAGTTGGGAATTTTAGCCATTTAACCAGCCATGCTGATGAGTTTGCAGTCTGTTTCTGGAGCAAGCCATTGGCTGTTTACAAAGAATAGAAGAGCAAATACTTACTGTGTGGTTACCTTCGTGGTGGTTTTTGTTATGGATTATCACACGTAATCCTCACAACACCCCTTGGGATGGAACATTATTGTCTCAGTTCGTCACTGAAGAAACCAAGGCAAAGAGAGTTAAATAACTGCCCCAGATCACATCTAATCAGGGGCAGAGTTGAGACTCAAATCCAGACATCATGATATCAAAACACACATACCTGGCCACACTCAGGTGATGTGGAAGAAACATTCAAAGAGGGAGGAAATGAATGCAGATCAGATGTCATTGCTCATTGTTTGTTTTTTCAGGTCTCTGTATAAGGAAATAGACCAGCAACTACAATCAACTGAAATCCCATCACACCTTCATGATGTTTCCCTTCGCTAGAAATATATTAAGAAGTCTCAAGATGCGAAGCATTCAGCAAATTGGGGCAAGGCAGAGCCATAGAAAACACTCCCCAGATTTTCATGACAAATATGGTAACACTGTGCTAGCCAGTGGAACCACTTTCTGTGTTGTTGCGTGGATATTTACAGCCACACAGATTGGAATACGGTGGAATCTGTCCCCTGTTGGCAGAGTCACCCCAATAGAGTGGAATGATGAGTAACTATTATCACAGTGGCGGTAATATAGAATTGTTTCAAAACCAACCTGTCACTTAAGCATTCTGCTGCTCATTTAAATGTAGCATAATTGAAAAATTAAAATACATTTGAAACCTTTAAAAAGTCATTCAAAGTAGTCATTATAATGCCTGGAAGCAAGGGTGTAATAGTGCGTATAGATTACAGGGAATTATGAATAACAAATATTTGAAAGTAGAATTAATGAAGCATGTGTGATTCTGGCTTAATGATCCACACTAGGTATCCTTCAGTGGCAGTACACACATGTGTACCTTAAGAATTAATTTAATTGTCTGACAAATCCTGTTGAATCTTCTTAAAACATATTCATGATCTGACCATTTCACATCCTTCATCTCTCTCTCCCTGGTCTGAACCACCACACACTCACTAGGATTATTATAAAGACTTTCTAGCCTGTCTCCTTCTACACATGATGTCCCCCCAAGCCTTCCCCCTCTACCCTTTCACACAATATTCTTTAAGCACAGTAACCAGAATGGTCATTTAAAAACTTTAGCCTAGTGATAGCACTCGTCTTTTAAAAACCCAGTGACTTTTATTTCACATCAGAGTCAAAGCTAACACCCTTAGAAAGGTACACAGGCCTCTTAAAATTCTACACTCATCCATTTCACTCCTGAATCAAGACTTTTTCACTTTTTCCTCTGTTTGGAATGAACTTCCTCCAGATCCAGTACCACTCATGCTCCATCATACTTTTCAGAGTTTTGTTCACATATCATCTTTTCAGAGAAGGCTTTGGCTACTGTTTTAAAAATTGCAACCCTGCCCTGGCCGGATGGCTCAGTTGGTTGGAACACCATCCCCTACATGGAAAGGTTGTGAGTTCGATTCCTGGTCATGACACACGCCTAGGTTGTGGGTTCAATCTCCAGGGTGTGTGCAGGAGGCAGCCAATCGATGTTTCCCTCTTTCCCTCCCTCTCTCTAAAATCTGTAAGCATATCCTAGAGTGAGGATTAACAAAAATTGCAACCCCTACTTATACTGGGCTTTGTCTACCTTGCTTCTTTGCTTTATTTTTCTTCATAGAAATGATCATCATTTGGCATAAGACATATTTTATTGTTTTTTGTGTGCAAAAGTCCATGAAAGCACACGTTGGCGACTGCTTTTTTATGATTTTATCTGTATAGCAAAACCTGATAGATTAGGCCTTCAGGAAGTATTGGTTGAATTAATGGGTGCCTTTAAATAATTCAAGGCCCCTGTTAGTCTGAAAATGATGAATTTGTTTACTACTGCGGGTTTGCAGTGATCATGGAGGGCATATTCGCTGGAGATCTCTGGCTCAGGATCCCACACTTCTTCAATTACAGTGTCAGACGGGCCTATAATCATCTCAAGGCACAGCTGAGGGAGGATCCCCATCCAGACTTTCTCTGTGGCTGCTGATTGGCCTCAGGACTTCCCTGGAGATTGTCTGGAAATACCAGTTCTTCATCACGTGGGTCTTTTCATAGGGGAGCTCACAGTATAGCAGCTGGCATTCCTCAGAGTAAGAGAGGGCACCCAAGAAAGAAGCCATAGTCTTTTTTTCATCTTTTTAAAAGAAATTCTTTATTGTTGAAAATATTACAGATGTCCCCTTTTTATCCCCATTGATTCCCTCTACCCCACATCCATCCCATCCCCAGGCTTTCCCCATACCAATGTCTGTGTCCATGGGTTATGCTTATAAACATATAAATTCTTTGATTAACCTCTCCCCAACCCACTCCCCTCTCCCTCCCTTCCCTCTGAGATCCCTCAGTCTGTTCTATGCTTCTTTGTCTATGGATCCATTTTGTTCATCAGTTTATTTTGTTTATTATATTCCAAATATCAGTGAGATCATGTGGTACTTGTCTTTCTGTAACTGGCGTATTTCACTTAGCATAATACTTTCTAGTTCCCTTTATGCTCTCCCAAAGGATCAAAGATCCTTCTTTTTTACAGCTGTATAGTATTCCATGATGTGAAGGTCCCACAGCTTTTTTATCCACTCATTTACTGATGGGCACTTGGGCTGTTTCCAGATCTTAGCTATTGTAAATTGCCTGCTACACACATAGGGGTGCATAAGTTCTTTGTGATTGGTGTTTGGGGATCCTTAGGACATATTCCTAGAAGTGGAATCACTGGGTCGAATAGCAAGTCAATTTTTAATCATCTGAGGTAGCTCCATACTGCTTTCCATAGTGCCTGTACCAGTCTACATTCCCACCAGCAGTGTACCGGGGTTCCCTTTTCTCTACACCCTCGTCAGCAGTTCATTGATTTGTTGATGGAGCCATTCGGACAGGTGTGAAGTGATACCTCATTGTGGTTTTAATTTCCATCACTCTGATGATTAGTGATGTTGAGCATTTTTTCATATGTCTCTTGGCCATCTGTATGTCCTCTTTGAAGAAGTATCTATTTAGGTCCTTTGCCCATTTTTTAATTGGATTGTTTGTCTTCCTTTTGTTAAGTTGCATGAGTTCCTTATATATTTTGTATATTAACTATTTATCAGATATGTCCTTGGCAAATATGTTCTCCCATACAGTGGGCTCCCTTTTCATTTTGTTGATGGTTTCTTTTGCTGTACAGAAGCTTTTTATTTTGATGCAGTCCCATTTGTTTATTTTATCCTTAGTTTCTCTTGCCCTAGGAGATGTATCAGCAAACATACTGCTACGAGACATGTCTGAGATTTTGCTACCTATGTTTTCCTCTAGGATTTTTATGGTTTCATGTTTTACATTTAAGTCTTTTATCCATTTTGAATTTACTTTTGTGTATGGTGTAAGTTGGTGGTCTAGTTTCACTTTTTTGCATGTACCTGTCCAATTTTCCCAACACCATTTATTGAAAAGACTGCCTTTACTCCATTGTATGTTCTTGCCTCCTTTGTCAAATATTAATTGACCATAATGGCTTGGGTCAATTTCTGGGCTCTCTGTTCTGTTCCACTGATCTATATGTCTGTTCTTGTGCCAGTACCAGGCTGTTTTGGTTACAGTGGCTTCGTAGTATAACTTGATATCTGGTATTGTGATCCCTCCAACTTTGTTCTTCTTTCTCAAGATTGCCATGGCTATTCGGGGTGTTTTTTGGTTCCTTATAAATTTTCGAACTGTTTGTTCTAGATCTGTGAAATATGCTCCATATATTTTCTCCATCTATTAATATGATCATGTGATTTTTGTCTATCAGATTGTTTATGTGATTTATCATGTTTATTGATTTGCAAATATTGTACCAGCCTTGCATCCCTGGAATAAATCCCATTTGGTCATGGTGTATGATCTTTTTAACTTATTGCTGGATCCGATTTGCTAATATTTTGTTGAGGATTTTAGCATCTGTGTTCATCAGGGATATTGGCCTGTAATTCTCTTTCTTTGTAGTGTCTTTATCTGGCTTTAGAATCAGGCTAATGCTGGCCTTGTAAAAAGAGTTTGGAAGTGTTCCTTCCTCTTTGACTTTTTGAAATAGTTTGTGGAGGACAGGTGTTAATTCTTCTTTGAATGTTTGATAAAACTCCCCTGTGAAGCCATCTGGGCCTGGGCTTTTGTTTGCTGGGAGCCTTTTGATTACTGCTTCAACTTCATCAGCAGTTATGGGCCTATTCAGGTTTTCTGATTCTTCCTCATTGAGTTTTGGAAGGTTGTATTTTTCTAGACATTTATCCATTTCATCCAGGTTGTCCAGCTTGGTGGCATATAGTTGTTTATAGTATTTTCTTATAATCCTTTGTATTTCTGTTGGGTCAGTTGTTATTTCACCTCTTTTGTTTCTAATTTTGTTTATTCGGGTTCTCTCTCTTTGTTTCTTGATGAGCCTGGCCAAAGGTTCATCAGTCATGTTTATCTTTTCAGAGAAGTAGCTCTAGGTTTCATTGACCTTTTGTATTGTTTTTTAAGTCTCTATGTCATTTATTTCTGCTCTGATCTTTATTATTTTGTTCCTTCTACTTATTCTGGGCTTTTCTTGTTGTTGTCTTTCTAAGGTTTTAAGTTGTAGGGTTGGAGAGTCTATTACAAGTTTTTCTTGTTTTTTGAGGTAGGCTGGTAGTGCTATGAACTTCCCTCTCAGGACGGCTTTGTGTCCCATAGATTTGGAGTTATTGTGTGTTCATTTTCATTTGTTTCCAGGAAGTTTTTGATTTCTTTCTCGATCTCTTGGGAAACCCATTCATTGTTTAAAAACATGCGTTTCCGCCTCCATGTGTTTGAATGGTTTTTAGTGTTTTTATTGTAGTTGATTTCTAATTTTATGCCACTGTGACCCGAGAAGATGCTTGATATGATTTCAGTCTTCTTGAACTTGTAGAGACTTGTTTTGTGTCCTAACATGTGGTCTGTCTTTGAGAATTACTCATGTGCACTTGAGAAGAATGTGTATTCTGCAGCTTTGGGGTAGAATGTTCTGTAAATGTCAATTAAATCCATCTGATCGAGTGTGTCATTTAGGGTCACTGTTTCCTTGTTGACTTTTTGTCTGGAAGATCTATCCAGTGAAGTCAGTGGGGTGTTAAAGTCCCCTAGTATGACTGTATTGCTATCGATTTCTCCCTTAAGGTCCTCTAGAAGTTTTTTTTATAAATTTAGGTGCTCTTATGTTGGGTGCATATATGTTTATCAGGGTTATATCCTCTTGATGGATTGATCCCTTTAGTAGTATGTAATGACCTTTCTTGTCTCTCGTTATGGTCTTCATTTTGAAGTCTATTTTGTCCCATATGAGTATTGCTACCCCAGCTGTCTTTTCATTTCCACTTCCATGGAAAATTTTTTTCCATCCCTTCACTCTCATCCTGTGTGGGTGTTTTGTTCTGAGGTGGGTCACGTTTTCTTGTCCATTCACCCACCCTGTACCTGTTTATTGAGGCATTTAATCCATTTACATTTAAGGTTATTATGGAAAGGTACTTATCTACGCCATTTTGTTTCTTTATGCATATGTTTCTCATTCTCTTTATTTCTACTTCT